TAATCACAGGGATCATATTAATTGGCTCCATAACACGCAAATCATTACTGCTGCTCCTTTGAGCAGGACATTCATTTTCACCCATAAAAGCTGACTCCATCTTTGAATGACTAACAAGAGAAATGATTCATTTAGTAGAACTAAATGAATGCTCACTTCTGCACATCGATCTTAGGTTCTTTCTGGCTGCTTTTGAGGGATAATTTTTGGTTTGGTTTTAAATTTTGATTCTGCCACTTATTTAACATGGGATTCCCCTCTTTATGCTGTGAATATTTTTTATTATCATTGGTTAATAAAGAAATTGCCTTGGCCTATGGCAGGGCAGAATAAAGCTAGACATGAAATTTGAACAGAGATATAAAGAAAAAGTAGGCAGAGTCAAGGAGATGCCATGTAGCTACTGAAGGAGAAAAAAATGTGGGAACCTTATTAGGCCACAGACTCATGGTGATGCATAGATTAATAGAAAGGAGTTAATTTAATATGCAAGGGCTAGCTAGGAATACACCTAAGCTATTGGCCAAACAGTGTTGTAATTAATGTAGCTTACATGTGAATATTAGGTCTAGGTGGCTTGGAAACAGTTCACTCTTTGTTGTTTATATAATGGTGCCCAACGTAGGAGCATAGATCGACATAAGGCCTAAAAAAAGATTGAAATTATAAAAAAGGGACTTCTAGGTCCCCAGAAACAGGAGTCAATTAAAGCTTCTCGGTAGCCACATATTTTCAGATAGGCTTTGTTTGCTCGTGGGGAGCAGAGGAACAGGTCCTTTAAGAGAAGGCTTCCTGACTCAGCATTAGCAGCAAAAACTTCATAGTTCATGCTGGAGGAACAAATGGATATGGCTCTTTTAAGAGTTACTTAAATGGGGTTTATGAGCAGCGTGTTACAAATTACTTAATGGTGATAAAGACCCATTGTGTCCATGGATCTGGGGTGGTTAGCATCAATCACAGAGGCAGTGAATGTACCTCTACCATGTTGGACTGGGTATAGCCAACAGCCAAACCTGCAATTGTAATCCTAACCATACCTTTTTAGTATTTCAAAAATAAGAAAATAAAAAAAATCCTCTCCTGGTCAGAAACTGATTACAGATACACAATAAGACAGACTTAAATAAAAAAGACCTCTGAATAGGTCACAGTGTTGGATAAATTTACATGGTCTTAAGAGAGAGTAAAGACAGAATAAAGACAGCCATAGATTAAAGGAGTAAAGATAATAAAATATTAAGTAGTAGAATAAAAAAATTAAATAACCCATGACAAGATGGGATAGACACAAAGAGTTTAGATTATGTATACTGTTGTGCTTTCTTTGAATTTTTGACTGTCAATGAGCTATCTACAGAGAGACATTTCATTGTATGGGTGCTTTGCTAAACCAACATATATATTTTAAAGGTATCTTGACTTCAAAATTTGAGTCTAAGGATATATTGCTTTGAAAAAAAAAAAGGGTCTACTTTTGTTTGCACAGAGGATGAGAACCTATGAATTTCTTCCAAGCTAATATGGTTTGATAGAACAAGACTTCCTGAAAGGTCTCCAAAAACACTAAAAATACTTTACCCAACAAGCAGTAGGAAGAAGTTTGGAGCAAACAATGCCCAAATTTCCAACATGACTGTTTATAAATATTTGTTTTCAGTTAAAGGGGGATATAACATAGAAATGAATACTTTACATGGTTTGGACTTTATTGATACAAACTTAAGGTCAATTTTGTTATATGTATATTTCTTCTCTTACTTAAGGTATTGTGTTTGTGCAGCTCTTTTAAAAATGTAATGTATAATTAATAAATATAAATTAATAGAGAGTCATTTATAGTAGTCAAGCTTGTAGTCATTTTAGTTAGGTTTTCTAGATATACAAAGATGTATTTCAGATGGATAGGTATTCTTCAATCCTTCTAAAGATCTACAGAATATGGTATTTAAAAGGTTTTAAGGACTTAGACTTTTCTTGACAGTAGGACATGTATGCTACCAGCAGCACCAATTACTTGAGAGAGGTTGATGGACATCAAAGAAACTTGTTATGGAATTTGCATTCAATGTGAATGCAATTATTCTTGTATAGATTGCTTGTTAGTGTGTTGCATGAATTGGAAATGCAGGACCCACAGAAAAGTGCTGACTTTTCCAAATGATGGGTTGGTACTTCGATGTTCCTGTTTCACAGAGAAAACTACCAGACAATCTGCAGGACACAGTAAAAAGTAACTGACAAGCTGCCAATATAAGCAAAACTGTTGAAATAGGAGTTGAAATTTTCTTAGTCCTCTGAGGGCCAGAATTTTGAAGTCCAACCCAAGTTCAACAAACTGAAGCCCATGTGCTATAGAACTGGTGCCCTCTAGATGAGGCAATAGGGAACCATTTCCTGCCACCCACGGCATCTAGAGGGACTGTGTGGGTTCTTTGGTTTGTGATCCTTCATCTTGTTTTGAAATTTTACTTAAAAAACATTTTTTCATTTATTTTACATATCAACCAGCTTCACCTACCTTCTCTCTTCCCATTCCCTCCCCCTTCTTACCTATCCTCTCCCCATCTGCTCCTCCTTCATCTCCATTCAGAAGGGGGCAGGCCTCCCTTGGGCTTGCACAAAGCATAGCATATCAAGTTGAGACAGGATCATGTTCCTCCCCTTATGGCAGATGGTGTGAGGTAAACCAGCATAGGGAACAAGTTACCAAAAGGGAGATGTCGTGTTCTAACTGTTAGAACCCTTACTTAGAGACCAAGATACATGACTGTTATAAACATGCAAAGGGCCTAAGTCAGTCCCATTCAGGTTTCCTCATCATTCATGAGTTCTGGCAAGCTCAGACCAGCTCTCTCTGTGGGTTCCCTCATCATGACCTTCTGGCTCATATAATCCCAGATGCAGAGATCCACAGATAAGCACTGCACTGAGCTCTGAGAATCTTGACCAAGTTTTTATTGCAATTTATAAAGAATCAAATATTCAGAGATCAGATCAGATTGCCTACTATTTATTTATTAGGTATGTAAAATAACAATCTGTTTGTACATTTCTAATCGGGGCCTTCTATGGGTTTCTCTAGTTTCTCTCAAAATGTGATGTTTTATCATTTATACCAGAAATATAGTCATAGCATCATAGGCTAGCCTCAAACTCACAATAAGATCAGGGGTGTCCTTGAACTTCTGACCTTCCTTCCACTAATACTCTAATGCCAGGATCACTTGTATTTATCATTATTCCACATTTCATTCAGGATAGGAAATGTAATTCAGTGTTTTGTGCATGCTAGGCAAGTACTCTGCCAACTGAGCTATATTCCCAGAGCTTTCTTTATTTTGGTTTGAATGGTCCATGGAGAGGCATAAATAGAATAAGTATGTGTTGCTGAACTTATTTAGATATTGAATTTTTATTTTTATGTGTGTACGTATATACATATGTTCATATATATGTATGTTGATCCTTTTGTATCTGAGAAATACTGTTTTGTGTGTAGTACCAGGGTTTTCTTTCTTTGTAATATTTCTTCAAATTGCTCATATTCTGTTAGAGTACATTTCTAATGCACAAAATTATGCCAGTGTGGTCATACAGAAAGCTAAAATATTAGGTAGAAAGAGGATATATTTTTCTCAAAAGTTCTAGAAATAATATAACAATAATATCATATTGCTAAGAATGAGAGTTTAGATATGTTCGTAACAAAGAAAACAAGTAGCCACCAAAGGAAGAGATGGACATAGATAGTTGCCAGATATATATTCTCACACTGTCCAAGAGAAGGAAATTGTCTCTGTAGGGGAGTTCTGATGCTTGATTTGTAGTCAAAATGTTAAATAAATGCTCATACACTTCCTGAAGTCATCACCATTTTCATGTCCTTGACTTCTTTTCTCTTGCTGTATCCACAGAAATATTGACAGTGTAATTTAAGCTGCTCATAGATCTGTTGGCCCAATTCTTAGAGGAGTGAATTAAGGAGAGATTTCATTTTATGTAAACAGTCACACATATAGTCACCTGAATGTATCTGGGTGGACTTCACCATATGTAGACACTAACATATATAGCCATCTGAGTATATGAAAGGTGACATTTACCACATAGAGATACTAACATATATAGTCTTCTGAATGTATGAAGCATGATCATCATTACACATACACACTCACTTATATATTAATTTGAATCCATACAGTTCCAGAACTTGAACATTTTAAAGGTGACTTGGCTTTGCATCATCCTCTAAAGATCAGATCCATCAGTGAAATAGCTGTGAATGCTTAATTTATTACAATTTGTAGATTTTGGATAGGTTTTGTTGTCGCTGTTTGTTTTTATTGTTTTTTTTGTTTTTAACTATTAAAATAGCAAAAGCAGTTCTCTCACTATTAATTGGTTACCCATGGGACAATGTTTTAGTACAGGGAAGTCTATAGTCTGCAGAGTCAATGAAAATCAAAAAGAGAATCCAGGAAATGCCATAATATTTGAATTTTCTTTCAGAGCTTTGTAGGAATCCTTCTGTGAACCATAGAAATAATAAATGCTGAGCCCATTGGAACATAATCTCAATCAGCAAGATGCCACTGCTTTCCAGATTTCCTCACAGGCTATGCTAATTCCATGCCAAAACTAGCAATGAATTTCTTCCTTTTAATCTCCCCTAATGCCTTAGTTAATTATTGTCATTGTTCCGACTCTCCATTTCTCAGCTGAACCAGTCAGAGGAGGCTGGATATCTGCAGGACTTAATCTAGGACTACAAACGACCCTACTCCATCTGAAAAGGCAAAAATAAGACAAAAAGAATAAAAGGAATTACCAACAATTTCCTGGCAACCCCTTAATCTACTGGATTGCTGACTGGACATAGACCGGGATGAGGGATATGAAGGGTCTGGAAGATTTCTCAAGTTGATTGTCACAGGAAAGCTGGCTGAGGGGAGGAGGAAGCAGGAAGACAGTTACCTGGCATCTCAGTGAGCCATAGGATGGTGGTGTTTCTTCCCTGGCTGTCCATTATTCTATGGTAAGAATTTTTCTGATTTTCCTCCATTTTTATCTTAGAGGAAAGGGTATATGGACTGGGTGAATTTTAAATTGCACAGTGAATGTAAATAGGGGTGGTGTGTCTGGTATTGAGGATGGGGTAAACCAGCACCCATGAAACAATGTATTTTCTCTGAGGCCAAGTGTGAGAACTTTTGACTCTCCACTGTCAGGCTAGAAAACGCAAAAGCTCAACTTGAAGATGAAGGCAATTTCTACTCGGAAAATGTCAGTCGTATTCTTGACAACTTGCTGGAAGGCTATGACAACCGTCTGCGACCAGGATTTGGAGGTAAGACACTGCATTGCAGTTAGATGAAATACTTGAACTTTTATTTCATTCCACTTTTGTAACCCTTCTGAGATCCAGAGGATTCAGAAGGAAGGAAGTGGTAGAGGGAGGGTACGAAGAGTTCATGTGTGGATTACTATCCCTTTCTCACTACTTCCTCAGTCAGTGACCTTATGTAAGTTATTTGAATGCTATAATCCTCACTGTCCTAAACAGAGGTATTTGTGTGTATGGACCTCATTGACTCACAGGGTTATGGAAAAATAGAAAGAGTTTTTCCAGGTGTGCTACTTTTCTGGTTATTTGTCCTTTGACAGCAATCAATACCAATGTTTTTTTTTTTTTTAATCATCATTAGTAGCAGTATTAACTATTAATAGGGCACACTGATTTTGACATCTTCCATCCCTTAAGACTTTCCCAATGTGAATAAAATGACTTTAAAATAATTGTAGGTTTTCAAAGTTTAAAAACTGAAGGCTGTCCTTTAACTTTCAGATATGTGAAAGGTTGTGTGGAGTAACTAAAGTCTAGTAACAGCACACATGTTAATAGCCCCAACCTGCTTGACTTTTGGTAGGTGCTGTCACAGAAGTCAAAACAGACATCTATGTGACCAGCTTTGGGCCTGTGTCCGATGTGGAGATGGTAAGTACATTGGGCACTCATATTTAGGAAGGAGAACTACAACTTAAGACTAATGATAACAGGTATTGTCATTCATCTCAGCACACACGGTGCGTATTTCCATTGGAAAGGCAAAGAAACTAGAGCAAATGATTGACTCTGCTTGGACTCTTGAAGATGAGTTAGTTTTAATATTATAGTCTCTCTTCCATTCACTTATTATATAATGACTAGTCCTACAAAGAGAAGAGTTTCTCCATTTTATGAGGTCCAGGCAAAATTATTCTTTTTATTTTAAAACTTCTTGCCATGTAAGAGTAGACTGATAAGGAAAACGCTGAGGTACACATATCATTTGTTATGCACCATCACCGGTGCATTTTATCCAAACAGTGAAAGAGTCACTTGGATAGGTTCATGCTTTCCACCTTGTCCATTGCGGATGCATCAGTGGGAGTTCTGGAGACTCTGTTCCAGGTACAGATGGCTGTAGGATTCGTAAGAGGGTATTTATGGAAAGTGGCAAGGAAAGCCCGGAGTTGTTTTTTGAACAAAGTGTATCATATACCTTCCTGGTTTTCAAATGGTATTTATTCTCACAAAGCTAAAATACAAGCAGCAAGACAGAAACTGTCATAAATGTCTTCAAAGAAGGATGCCATTATCTTTTCTTGGGAAAATTGTAATTATGTATAAAAGTTGCTGGTGACTTCTTGTCCTACTTTAGAACTGATATGAAAAGAATAAAGAAGCAAAGGAATAAAAAGTGAATAAAAAGCAAAGGAAAGGGGAGCTAGATAGACAGGACAAGGGAGGATAGAAAACAGAATGAGGGAGGAAGAGAAAAGGGGAGAAGAGAAGGAAGATACAGATGAGGGGCAGAGAGTGGGCAAGAGATCTTATCAAGAAATAAAAATCATAAGACTTGAAAAAGGAGAGTCAGTACTGGATACTTGTTATTTTAGAATATTTTTTTTCCTTCAAGTTCTGCTTAGTTTCCAAAAACCAATTATTATAAACACTTGGAACTGCATCACTCTAGTCTGGGTTTACTTTACTTTCATTTTGTCATTGTGTCTCTTCTTAGAGTACTTTTGTGTATTAGAATACTTATGTTGCATAGTTTGTGATTGTATAGATATATTCTGTGTGGAAATTTGTTTTTAAAATTTAGTCACTATCTATAGAAATAAGCATCATAAAGTGGGAAGAAATTATTGGCAATGCTTCAACATAGTGGCAAGGTATTTGTTGTTGACTTCTGTGATAGCCTCATAATTTTCTTTTCAAAATTAACATTATCCCATAAAGCCATGGTTTAAAAATCAAAATTGTGGAATTTACATTAAATATTCTATATTCTGTTTAAAATAATCTTGCTTTAATCTGCTTGTATATTCTCTGAGAACAACATCAGAAATCCATGGTATGCAGTCTTAATTTACTAATCAATGAAGGTTTGTATTGTTGGGATTGTACTGCAAGGAAGTATTGTCCTCTGAACCGACTGTAAAGGTGAATGAGATGCTGGAAGAATTGCTAAACTAGCTTAAGGGAAGGTAGGACATCCAGCAAGAAATCTGAACTATAGATATTTTCATGTGTTTTTCTTTCAAGTTAAGGAGGATTACAGAGAAAAGATCGAGGTTGAAAAGTTGGCTGACTGGGTAGATATGAAGGAAAAATGTTGAGCAGATTAAGGATGGAGAAGGAGTTTGGCCCAGTATGTCTGTTTTATAATATTACAGACCTTGCGAGTCTGAGAAAAATAAGGATTCACCCAAATCTGTTTAGTATTGAAAACCCTTTACTGGGTATAATCAATATCATTGATTCTAAAAATCAATATAGATTACCAAATTATTCAGCTTCATTATGAAATTATTGGTATATACTTTCTTGAGTAAATTTAGAATTACATATAAATAATGAATAAACTATTTCACAAGACATGCTCCACTTTGTGTGAATATTTGTTTTTTTTCTCTTAGGAGTATACAATGGATGTTTTCTTCCGCCAGACTTGGACGGATGAGAGGTTGAAGTTTAGGGGTCCTGCTGAGATTCTGAGCTTAAATAACTTGATGGTCAGTAAGATCTGGACGCCTGACACTTTTTTCAGGAACGGGAAAAAGTCAATTGCTCACAACATGACCACCCCTAACAAGCTCTTCCGATTAATGCAGAACGGAACAATCCTGTACACCATGAGGTGAGTTGTCCATTTATTTCTGCTACCTTGAGGATGCATCCTCCATAGTAACCAGATGTACACATTTCAATGTCTCCAGGCTTACTATCAATGCTGATTGTCCCATGAGGCTGGTTAACTTCCCTATGGATGGACACGCTTGCCCACTCAAGTTTGGAAGCTGTAAGTTACACAAAGTTTCTGGAAGTCAAATAGATCACTAGAAATATGTATTCATTTGNATATATATATATTTTTAGGAAACTCTCAGTGTGAGTTCAGGAGTATGCTGTCTGTCAATATTAGAAGTTTCCGTTAATGAGATGTTTAAAAAAGCAACAAAATGAGTTTCCTTCTCCATAGCTAATGCAGGTAATGTTGTTTTTAATGAAGCAAAGTTAACCAGCTATATTTAGTGTTTTGTGTCATTTGTTTAAAATATACAGACGCTTACCCAAAAAGTGAAATCATATACACATGGAAAAAAGGGCCGCTTTACTCGGTAGAAGTCCCAGAGGAATCCTCCAGCCTCCTCCAGTATGATTTGATTGGGCAAACAGTTTCTAGTGAGACAATTAAGTCTAACACAGGTAAGAATATTTTAAAAAATCCTGTAATACAACTCCAGTGTATGTTTTCAAAGTATCAAGTATTTTATCTCATTAATATTAGATGTAACAGACTTAATTTATTATTTTGAAGTAATAGCTTCAAAATTGTTTGCAACTGGGTAAAAAGGAATATTTGTGTAGTCTTGAAATGATTTTTCTTTGTGTGAATAAATGACATAAGGTTTACCAACAAACCGATATTTCTCTTTGCATCTGATCAAGTAGTATTTTTATATATTTTTAAATCATGACTTCACTTGTTTTCTTTCAGACCATGTTAACTTAAACACTTGCGAGTTTTAAATCCACTGCATTCATTTCTCTGTCGACAACAACCCTACTAATGAGCGTGTCTTCCAACAGGTGAATACGTAATCATGACAGTCTACTTCCACTTACAAAGGAAGATGGGCTACTTCATGATCCAGATATACACTCCGTGCATTATGACGGTCATTCTCTCTCAGGTGTCCTTCTGGATTAATAAGGAGTCGGTCCCAGCAAGAACCGTCTTTGGTAGGCCTCACACTTTGCGTTCTATTTTCACTTCAACGCCTGTACTTTTGTGGTGAATATTGACAACTGTGTGTTCTCTCAGTACACGGAAGAAACAGAGTCACATATGTCACAGAGACATATGTCACATAAAGTGACTCTTGTCTTTTTGTAAGTCGTGTGCCGAAGCAGCAAAATATTGTCCCTTCAGCAATTCTGGCTCTTTTCTATAACTAAAGTGTGTCTGAGTTAGCAGTGCTCAGCGTGAAGGAGAAGCCTGACCAGAAGGTGGTGGCACATGTTTTAATCCTAGTACTTGGGAGGTAGAGGATCTCTGTGAGTTTCAGGCCTGGTTTTACAGTTTTACTGAGTTCCAAGACAGACAGAGCTGTTACACAGAGAAAGAGAGAAAAAGAGAGAGAGAGAGAGAGAGAGAGAGAGAGAGAGAGAGAGAGAGAGAGAGAGAGAGAGAGAGAGAGAGAGAACCTAATGCGTCCGGGAAAATTGGTTAATACTGTAAATCCACTCATATCTCACTTTCACTGGGATGAATAAAATGAAGTTGCTAACTCGAAGATTCCACGCTTTTTAAATACCAGCACCCAGCACACGGGAAGCAGAAGCAGGGAGAGCTCTGTGAGTTCTAGACCAGCCTGGTCTACAGTGCAAGTTCCAGGACAGGCTCCAAAGCAAAAGAGAAACCATGTCTGCCAAACACTCCTCCCCCTCTTAAAAAAATCGCTAGGGGGTGGCCAATGAGGGAGTCTTCTTACTAACCAGCCCTTATTTTGAATCTCGTTACAAGGTTACTGATGCTAAATACCGCTCTTCTTTTTTTCTCGTTGCAGGAATCACCACTGTTTTAACCATGACCACCTTAAGCATCAGTGCCCGGCACTCCCTGCCCAAAGTGTCCTATGCAACCGCCATGGATTGGTTCATAGCAGTGTGCTTTGCTTTTGTCTTTTCTGCTCTCATTGAGTTCGCAGCTGTCAACTACTTCACCAATCTCCAGTCACAGAAGGCTGAAAGAAAGGCGCAGACTCCAGCTCCGCCCCCTGTGGCTATATCAAAAGCCACTGAACCACGGGAAGCTGAGATTGTCGTGGTAATTGTTCCCTCTTCTACTACTGTTAGCCAGCAGATAGAGGAAGCGAGATCAATCAGTGACAGCATACAAACAGTCCGAAACAGGATTTGTTGAAAATAAATTATATAACCAGAGTTGCTTCCCGCTTCCCAGGGTGATGAAGCTGAAGAAAAGCCTCCGTTGATCTTTGCTCTAAAGTTTTGATATTCTTTCATCATCCTTACTTGTGCTGGCAGACTCTAGGCTCTCAAAGGAGACTAGAAAATTCTGCTTAGCCTTTAGAAGTTTCCTTTGAACAGGCTCCCTTATAGTGACTAGGGAAAATAAAGTTTTGCTTTTTTTTTTTTTTAAAAAAAAAAAAAGGTTCTAATGAGGCTCTCAGAGTCTGAAGGAAATAAGACAACTCCTGCAGCATGAGTGGTTTTGTGAGTAAATCTATAGACCACGTTATTTTGTCAGGGGAGAAGGTAAATAGTGAATATAGGCTCTCTGAATGAATGTATGACCCATATATCTGATTTCCATGATCACATTTTCATGAGTGTATCAAGTACATGCGTGTCAGTGAGCTCATGTTCAAAGGCTTATTATTTACTGAGAAATGTTCATAAACTTTCTTTAAATGTGCTATATGCAAGCCTTTGTCTCTAAAGTTTATTGGAATCAGAGATAAACGATATATCCCTATTTAAAGGGTCATAAACATACTTCCCAAATTTATTCTCATTTGTGAATAAGTTTTTACCCTTTTTTAAAAAATAGATTAGCAAATTGATTGACAAGCATGCATTTTTCTATTAATACAAACATCAGACGTCTCCAAAGTCTTCTTTTGACCTGTGTACAATTATATGTAGAAAGAAAATATATGAATGCAGATATAATAGGAAAGTATTTATAACAAAAATATGCTTTAGGCTTAGTCTGACATGCATGCAAAACATTTTTCAGGCAAGTTAAGTTTTAATTGTTTAAAAATATATTTTACTTGGGAAAAATAAATTCTATTGTATGCATACACATATAATCTACATCCTCTAAAATTTATATTTGAATTTAGCATATATCTTTAAAGAATTATTTATCAGAATTCAAAACTGTTTAAAAGGGGGTCATTGGAAAGGAAGAAGCTGAATTAATACACAGTGTGGAGCTTACATCTAGTCTTTGCAGATAAAGTGGAACAAAGCTTGGTCATTTTCCTGAGTCATTTCCCCAGCTTCCATCTTGCTAAGTTTTTTTTTTTCCAAGAGAAGATAGTAAAGTCTAAGTTTGAGAAATAGAGCAGGAAAGAAAGTTAAACTCATCAGAAATAGGATAAATAAAAAGCAATTAAAATTATTTTTAATATACTCATCAATTTAATGCTGGATTAAATTGGGGGAAAATGCCAAATCCTTTTTATTTTTACAATATACACTAAAAGAGGCAGGGCGCATAATTTCAAATCTTTGGAGAAGACTTAGCGCTATCAATAACTTAGGCTATTATTTTAAAGGTATAAGCAATTAAATGGTAGAATGTCAGATCCCAGGTATTCATATATAAACTGTCTTCTGTAACGCTAAAACAGTAGCATGATGAGTTGGTCCTATTAAAAAATGCATTCAAATACCCTCAGAAAAAATTCTATAGCAACTTCCATTTGTCCTTATGAAAAGTTCCATTTTCATGAAGCTTGCACTACTTAAAATATTTGAAAATAACAAATAGGATTTATTTCTTTTTTTGTTTCTGAAAGGCTAAAGTGTAAAAATAAAAAAAAAACTAACCAAACCAAAAATATACACTCCAAAGGTATCAAAAATAAATACATATGATTATGTAGAACATTTATATTTCATTTGTTCATGGTGAAACTCAGCAAGTGGCTTTATAGACTTGAGAAGAACAAACACAAATTGCACATTGGCTATTTATGTTATACAATGGTATATTATGATTGCAAGGTCAGTTTATTTTTTCCCAAATACCATGACATTTAAAAATGCCTATTCAGTTATAACCAGCACCTTATTTTAAGGAGCTGGGCATTGTAACTTCGGATTACTATGGTGAAGGTGAAATACATTAATTGGCTTGCTTCCTTCTTACTTTAAAGGTCTAGGCCCTCTTTGTCATGCTCTTGAGTATGAACGCTCTCTATACCCACCACTTGTTCCCTCTATTAGCACATTTCCCGATATGGCATGTGTTCCTTACAAGAGATGTGACAGTTCTTGTGAATCTGCATGGAAAATCTGCATATAAAATTAACCAAAAATGTCATTAGCAAGGACATACAGTAACTGTATATTAATTGCTTCTTTATGCATTGTTTGTCACCCACCTGATGAGGGACTTTGGTAAAATTTTCTTACCTTGAGGATATGTAAAGTTTTTTTATATGGAGTGTCATCATAGGGTCTTTCCTTGAACGGAACTTCTTGTGCAGCAAGAAGAGAGAGCCAATGGGAGACATGAGTCCATGAGCATTTGTGATAAAGGCTGTAGCTAGAAATCCAGGGCCGCCTGAAAATATCTATGTGAAAATGTCTAACTCATTTGGAGGAGTGTGCATTTTTAGAAGAGTGATTTCAAAGATGAAAAGAGAAAGATGATCTTGGCATGGGTACAAGACCTAAGATAATTGCTAGGAACCTGGACACAGAGAGGAATATAAAACTATTCTTTCTGCCTTTCCTTTCAAGGTGAAGCTATATGCCATGCCCTGAACACGCTATAGCCAACTATGCCCAGAGATGTGAAGAACGGAATGCCAAAAGTTCCCTCTGCTGTTCCAAATTTTCCTAAGATTTCTTTGAATTACAGCATAGAAATAAGGGTTAAATTAAGATTACAAGATCTAAGAAGCAGAAAGCCCTAGGTTTCCCTTCCCCATGATTGTTCCATCCTATAAATTATGCAGAGACAGCAGTGGATTAGGTGAAATGTCATTTGTTAACATTTTGCCAAGCAGTTTATCAAATCCCCACCCAGTTTTTCAGTCCGTACCATTCAAACACAAGCCTAGATTCCTTAATAGCACTGGTGCACCAGATGGATGTCAACAGAGATTTCTCAGAGGACCTTCTGAAATCCTCTATGATATCAATAATACTTGGTCCAACACAAACTTTTTTAAAAAAATTATCAGTACAGTTCTAATTTTGCCATAATATTAACATAATGTTCTTGAGCACAGTTTTTAAATACTGTTTGTTTAGTGTTTTGTTTGTTTTTGAATTTGTATTATTTTGATGAATTCATTGACCAGTTCTATAAATAATTATTTTGTGCATTGAGGAGTGGAACCTGATTAGATTATTTCTATTAAGAGATGTATTTGGGGCTTTGAGAGATCGCTCATTGGTTAAGAGTACTAGCTGCTCTTACCGAGGATCCAGGCTCGGTTCCCAGCACTGACATGGTGGCTCATAACTACCTGTTATTCCAGTTCCAGGGGAATCAATGTTGTTTTCTGGCCTCCTCAGCTACCAGGCATGGCATGCACATGGTTCCCAGACATATGTGCAGGCAGAAAACTCATAGAAATAAAATAAAAATTCAAAAATAAAAATAATTCTAAGAGATTACATATTTTGGCCACCTTATTTAAAATAATAGGCTAAAACAAATTATTTCCTTAATGTCTTCCTTATCCCTACACCAAATAACTGAGTATGATCTTGAATGCTCTAACTAAGGCACCTTTGCAATATAATGATACTTAAAACAAAGAGGTGGGCTAAAAATACCCAGAGCAGGATGGTACTCACCAGCAGGGGAGCCCAGGAAAATTTCAAAACCACAGGTGTTCCACTCAAAACCCTGACAGCCCCAAGCTGAGTTCTCATCTGGACTCTGACAAAAGCCTATTTTACCATCAACCTGAGCTCCCTTACAATAGAGCAGGTGGGGTCTGATGCTAACCTGTAGCTTAAAGGGTTTGCAAAAATTGCTTTCTTTTCATTTCAGAAATGTAATGTTTTTTTTTCTCCTAAATTGGCACCTACTATCTTCTGGCTGCCAATTTTTAACTGCCTATCCAGTGTACAATATTAAATACAGAGCTCCTGCATTTTCTTTAGAATATTGCATTTGCTTCTACAAGAACCCCCACACCACCCCTACCTCCACCACCTCCCATTCGTTACCCCCTGTCCAGTCACTGCTGGGCAGGGAACAAGCAGGATTCTAAAACAGCTATTCTAAAACTATTCTCCTAGTAGGCATTTGACAGTATCTACATATTGTAACAAGTTGTGGTGATTATGCTATTAGTACCTCATAAAAAAGAGGTCTTGATATTGACCAATAATATGGAAGACAGTCTTTATCCAGAAAATATTACCCAACCTAAAATGTTCGTATTTCAGAGTCTGAGAAACCCTGAGTAATGCTGGCAGGATGCATAGAGTAAAAACTACTAAAAGTGAAATTTCTAGCACCTGAAAAGGGTCTAAGTGAATTTTTTTTATTACATTTTACTTTTTAAGTATAAAATAAGTTTAATATGACATTAAAGGTATTTTCAATGATAAAGTAAAATTATTCATGTCAGTTTCCTCATAGTGCTCATCAATTCCTGAAAAATATTTACATTTTTATTCATATGTTGATTAAACATTAAGTTTTGAAAATGTACTATGTTCCATGTGCTGGATAGGCACTCTTTCTTGTTCCTGTTTTGTTGTATAAGACAGGGTTTCCGTCTAACAGTCCTGGTTAATCAATCTGGAACTCACTCTATAGATTGGACTCCTTGAACTCCCAGAGATCCGCCTACCACTGCCTTCTAAGTGCTGGGATTAAAGGTGTGTGCCACCACCACCTTGCTGGCAAGGCACACTTGCTTGAACATAATGTGTCATGTTTCATTAAGATGTCATGGCATGAAAGAAGGGGAGACTAAATAGAAGTAGTTAATTCTAGAAAAAAACAAAAACAAAAAACTACAGGAGCTCTAAAGAGTCCAGAAAAGTGTATGAAGGTGTTATCATTGGTGATGGCAGTGATGCATGAGCTTTCTATGCAACAGGGGAACATAATTCCCAGCAAAAAAGAACTTTAGTTCAAGAAAATGCTAAGAATGAGCAGCAGACACATACTGCAGATAATTGAAAAGATAGAGCTAAGATTTGCTAAGCAAATATTTGTAAGCAACCACAGAATATATTTTGTCCAAGTTCATATAAAAGAGGAAAATACGCATGAGGAGAGGTGTAATAATACCTACATTGAAGATGAAAACTGAGGCTTAGTTAGAGTTGGAGCCTTCGATATTGATGGTACAGCTAAGCCATATCACAAGTAAGTAGGAGATGTGGGATTGTAACATGGGGTTTAGGCTCCTGTCTCATCTCCTCAGATGTTCCACAGAGCTTGGTGCAGAAGTGATGAATGGGCTCCTAGTCCCAGGCTAATGTTATTTTACTAGTTTTCAATCATACTTGTTATCTCTCAACTAAGGTCACTGGACAATGTCTGACAATTTGGAGATGATAAGATATTCAGAAAGAGCTTTTTTACTCTAAGTCATTAAAGATGATGGGAGGAAAAGGAATTTTATTGTGTATTATATTTTACAGTCATATTTTCAGTCTCAATGAATGAGACAGATCTGACCTCCTTCTGCCTGAAATAGAAAGAAAGGCAAGTTTCAGTCAGGTAGTATATGATGTTCAGATGAGTCTGGAGAGAAAGTCTCTGAGGATTTGCCCTTCTCCACTCCATCATGATCTTAGGAATTTTACTAGGGCAAAGGATTTTAGTGTTCACATGTACGGAAAGAGAATGGCTTTTATGAATCTATGGATATTTTTTGAGAATGAAATGGTGACATTTTATGCTCTCAGGTACATGGTAATTTAATAACATTTTAATGTGCAAAATAGAATTAGCTAATCAAGTGGGAGACTGAGAAACATGGTATAAAACACTAAGGAAACAGTGCCAATTTTATCCCGTAAGATCTAGTGCATGATATATGAAGATAAAAATATTGTTGCTCTGGTATAAAGCGCAGTCTAATAACCACAGGGATTTAGTTCTCAGTATTACTTAGTTTTAATAGATAATGCCACTCTTTTATGGCAAGAATCAGAAAGTAGGTCTTTACATTTTTATATTCTCTTTTCCTTGTTTAATTCTGTAAATTAATAGAAAAGACTTATCTAATTCTGTAAAAATGCCAACCTTAGTACCAGGCAAATAGATAAGGCACTCTTCATATGGAAATCACTGAAATTATATAAAATCAGATTCACTTTTTTATTTTTATGAAGAAACAGATATTTCCATGGTTTCTAAAAATCATAGTGGGCTTTGATTCTGTAAAATGACAGCTGTTATTAAGAGAATCAGAAACTTCCATGGTGAGTCAAACAATGAAGATGAGAATAAAGAGAAAAATCAAATTAAGTCAAAAAGATTCTTTAAGTTGATGTTCCTATAGCCCAAATGTCATCAAACCAGCTGGCCACTGTTGTCTTGTGGATAAGCCAACACAGGAGAGGTGGCTGTCTCATTCCTTGGCTGCAGGGTTTCTGGCTTTAGCTACAGGGGTCTGACCATGAGGAACATAGTATGCCATTCTGCTAAGTGGTGATTTTTGTTGCCAGGGAAGAAACAAGGCCATTTTACAAGATTGAGGGGGAATGTTAAGCAAGTATTTGAAGGTAAAGAGCCAGTAAAACATTGTTATAATATGTAGACAGGAAACGGCAGGAAACAACAGAAACATGCCCGGACTCCAACAACATGGAAGGATTTAACATCAGACAGAGCCAAAGTCTCTGAACTAGGCTCAATAGTTTAGAGCAGAGATAAAAATGGGTTGCTATGACACAGCATGAAATTGGAGCTTTAGTAGAAGTACAATCATAAACAGCATGCCCCCACTTTTTTGATCTCAACTTTCACAAATGTTTATTGATGCACTTAATATCTCATTTAAAACTCATGTGTCTTATGGTTTTAGTATGAATGGAAACTCAGGAATAGAGAACCTGGGACAGCATTCAGGTTAGTGTGTGAATCATTTGGAATTATTTCAAAGGAAGAGAGACCAGTCAAGGAGAGTTCATTGGGACAGTGAAGGCTTTCTGTGTCCAACTACTAGGCTTAATTATATATATTAATATATTTCAGGATAAAAACATTCTCCTACTTGATTTAAAGTTTTTAAGCTGGTTTGAGGGACATTGGCTAATTCTTCTTTTCTTAAACTTCATCTGGTTCAGAGTCCTAAGTGTGAGAATATGAAGATTTAGGCTAGAACTTTTTAGAAGGCTATTAACAGTGAACAAACTAAGATTTTCTTGTGGTAATTCTCCACATGTTTTAAACTGAATGCACCTTCCAGACACACGCATACATGTATGTATGAGTGTATGCGCGCGTGCGCACACACACATACACACACACGAGAGACAAAGAGAGACACAGAGAGAGACAGAGAGAGTGAGAGAAGAGACTTAATTATATAGCTTAGAGGTGATGTGGGATTAATGTGTTTTATTACCATTGGTCAATAAAGAAGCTACTTTGACCAATAACAGGACAGAAAATAGCTAGGTGGAAAAACTAAACTGAATGCAGGGAGAAAGAAGGCAGAGTCAGGTAGATGTCATATAGCCACACAAGAAGCAAAATGTGAGGTAACAAACCACAAGCCTTGTGGTAAAATATAAAATAATAGGAATGTATAAAATTTAATATGGAAGACCTAGTTAGGGATATGCCTGAGCTGTTGGCCAAACAGTGTTGCAATTAATATTGTTTCTGTCTATTTGGTTCCAGGTGGCCAGGAAAAGAAAGAACAGTCTCTTTTTATATAGAGGCTTAAATATAATTTTGTGAGCTGTATCAACTTTTCTTAATTACATAATTCTCTATACAATAGCTCAAGCATACTTAATGTTTGGCATTTAATGTTGACATATTCAATTTTAGGATGTCAGATTGAAGCACACTACTGTTTTTGAAGTGAGGATGGAAGTACACGACTCAGCGGAAGAATACTTGCCTGGAACATATGATATCTTGAGTATAATTTCCAGACAGCTCGAAACTGAAAAAGAAAATTGTAGCCACCTTCAGTTTTTGCTTGAGGGCCTGATGTATTGCTTAGTGATAGAGACATTTAAACTCTAGCACCAGAAACACACACACACACACACATACACATTCAGTAAAAGCTTTGTATGTAAGTGCCATAACTCTTAGAAAGATGATAATATAACATGCTCTTACAAATTTGCTAATACTTTACCACACATAGTTAATTTATGTGTGCGTGGTGAGAGTCATGACTGTCTAAACAAGGGACTTCTGCTTTTTTGTTATGTTGACAATCTTTATTTTTCTTCCTCAGTATTCTGACTCCAAATACCACCTGAAGAAGAGGATCAGCTCCCTGACTTTGCCGATCATTCCATCTTCTGAGGCCAGCAAAGTCCTTAGTAGAACGCCTATCTTACAATCAACACCAGTCACTCCCCCACCACGCTTACCAGCTGTTGGGGGCTCCAGTAAAATAGACCAGTATTCTCGAATCCTCTTCCCAGTAGCATTTGCAGGATTCAACCTTGTGTACTGGATAGTTTACCTTTCCAAAGACACAATGGAAGTGAGCGGTAGTGTTGAATAGTTTGTAGCCAGGACAACCTGGATGCTGCAGTTTCTCATTTTCCTCACTGAAGGCAACACAAATTATTGAGTTGTGTATAGATATTCTCCTTTCAGATATGAAGTGAAAGCTGAATACCTGTAATTCATATGTGGAATAAGCATGTATGGGCCCAAAACAAAGATGTTGCTCTTCAAAATTGAATTAGAAGGCTACTGAAAATATGATTTTTCTATACAATAAAATAATTAATAATAGTAATGTATTCAGATAAGGTAGATTCATGGTGAGTTCGCCAGCCTTTATTCTCATTGGTCAATATTTTTAATTGTCACTCTGAATAACATTTTCCACAAGGCAGACAAACTCAAACATGCTAAAGCTTGCCTTAAATTTGTTTATTTTGGCTTAGTTTCTAGTCTAAATATTTATTGGTATATTTACTCAGCATGCTGGAGGCTTTTATGGTTTTATAAGAACTTTCAGTGGCATTGGACAGCTTATATTGAGTTAGGCAGTTCTTTTTAACCTTGCTGTGTTCTGTTACCTCAATAAAATGTGGCATTATATACATATAAATAATACATAGTTTATAAATTATGTATGCATATGTACATAGCTTTAGTTTTGCTGCAATACTATTGCTACTTCCCACTGAATTCACCTTTAAAATAATAAGTTCGCTACAACACCAGGAGGTTTTAGGAAGGTCACTCTGTGTATTATGACTGTATATTCTGATATGGTTACCACTCACTCATATGTTCCACTTTCCTAAATATAATACTAAATAAAATTATAACAAGCCTGCATCTTTGGTTCTGATTCATAAAGTTGGAGAGACAAGTTTTCTTAGGTACTGAGGCACAAACTGGCTTTTTCTTGCCCAGTGTTAGTAACACCTGTTCTGAGATACAGGCACTATGAGACAGCCAGGCTCAGTGAGCAGCTGAGAAGCCTTGAGTTATAGTCAAACAGTTACTGCTTCCTTTTGCTTCTTCATAATCAACAGTAAAATCTAGATGGGCTGTCTCTTCTGTCTTTCCCCTAATTCTTGATGATCATTCTTTGTTTCTCTTGCATAAAATTACTCTAAGGAAAGAGCAATCAGGGGTAAGAGGGTGCATGCAATCCAGTCTTTTCAAAGGGACTGAATCTCAGAACCCATCCACCTACCAAAAGAATACCTTGGTAATAATATCTTGTCATGTTTCACGAAAAACACCCACTACAAATAAACAATTTCAATTTTAATTGAAATATATGGCTACTAAGGATAAAAAGAGCTATCTCTATCCAACTTATTATTTTATTTATTTTTTAGCAATACTGTACTTTTATTGTTTTTAATTGAGCTATATATTTTTCTCTGCTGCCTTCCCTTTTTCCCCTCCCCTCTGATCCTCATGCTTCCAATTTACTCTGGAGATATTGTCTTTTTCCACTTCCAATGTTATCTACATCTTATCTAGATCTATGTATGTGTCTCTTAGTTGTCTCTTAGTTGTCTTAGTTGTATATCTCTCTTTGTTGTCTAGTTTTTCTGGGCTGTGATTTGTAGGTTGTTTTTTCTTTGTTGTATGTCTAAAAACCACTTATGAGTGAGTATATATTATATTTGTTTTTAGAGACAGGGTTTTTCTGTAGCTTTGGAGCCTGTCCAGGTATTAGCTATTGTAGACCAAGCTGACTTTAAACTCACAGAGATCTGGCTCTGCTTCCCAAGTGCTGAGATTAAAGGTGTGTGCCACCGTTGCCTGGTCTTATTGTTTTGTTTCTTAATCAAGTATATTTAAATTCTTGTGGACTATTTCTATTTTTATTTATAGAATAGAACAACTGAAGTAGATCCTTCCAACAATCTCTCTGTACTGAAAGAAAAATATGCTATTTATTTTATATACACAAAATGGAACAATTACACAGGGTCCATATCTCCTTTAGGGAGAATATTAAGTAATTAAAAGCCAGTTGGTTTCCATCATCAGCTAAGCTAGGCAATATTGAGTTTTCATTTTAATTCTGTCAAACATATTCCGCTATTTTCTCCATTTAAAGATAAAAAATAACAACAACAACTACAAAAAAAAAACCAAGATGCCAAGAATTCTAAAGCGAGTAAAGAAAGGATTGGGGGGAGGAAAGGGAGGGGTGCATTCCCTCTTGTAATTATAGTTTAATTTATATATTAGAAAAATAAACAAAGGTACCCAGAGCATGAAAAAATTGTTTAAAATCAACTCTTAATGTGCTACAGCCGGTAATCATGCCTTGGCACAGGTATCATTCCATAGCTCATTCATTAACCTTAATCACACCTGTCCCCGTCCAATGAATCATGATTCCTAATCCCCTTTCTTCAGTGCCCTCTCACGCCATGTTTCATTTCCCAAAATTGTTCTTCTGGCATCTCACATTTTGCGTATCATTTCCCATTTTCGTTCCGAATCTTCTCATAATGAGCATTGCTCTCTCTTTGCAGTAGAAACACAGAAACATGTAAGGCCTAAAGATCCCTCTCTAATAAAAGCTATTGAAAAAAAAAACCACTCCATCAAATTATACCACTTCCAATTTAGGGCTATAGAGAATGCCATCACTCAGCGTATGCCCCAGGATGGTAATCGAGATTACCTGAAAAGAAAAGAGTTTCCCCAGTCAAATAATTTGGAGAAGAGATGCTGAGTCAATATTAAAACAGGTTTCTCTTCTGCTAGACTTCCTGCAGCCTTTATTGCCCTCATGTGTGCCAAGCTGCTAATAGTTTGCGGTGGGAAGATCCCATTTCCTACCTCCTTATGACTGCGAACTTCACTTTGTAAAAGAAAATCTTAGCACTAGCATTCCCTAGGAAACAATATGGGAAACACCACTTTAGGTACCATTTACATGATTCCCTCTATTAGCCCCCAATTAAGCGGATATGGAATTGAGTGTGCGGATGGGGACTCTTGTTCTCACAGCTATTAGAAGCCATATTATGACTGTAAAATAGAAATCAAGCTATGTTTTCCAGTAAAGAGGATTTAAAGAGTAAATGTCTGCTAAGCCACAGAGAGATGTGAACTCTAGGAAGCAGATAATATTAAGGAATGGAGAGGTTTATAGAATCTACAAGTAAAGGAAAGAGGACATAGAGTAGGACTCTGCCATCTGAATAGAGGACAGCAGCGAGGTTGTTAAAAAAAAATCTAAGCGCTTTGTGAAGAAAGCTGCTGGACTGGGAACCATTCTTTCTAAGTAGATCCTTGGTTGGTCCTGTAGCTCAGCTCACTGGGTTCCCAGAGCTCAGGCTAAGCCCTGAGTAGATTGAAAAAAAAAAAAAAGCTCCTGCACATGGGGACCACATCCTAAGGATGTATTGCTTGTTTGAAACTAACATGCTTAGACGGCATAAAGTTTTCTGATTCTGGGATTATATGATCTGGAGATGGGAAGCAATTGCATCTCAAAATGAAATGAGCACTGAAGGACAAAGTGAGCCAACAAAAGATAACAGATTTCTTTCCTATACTCTTGCTTTCCTCTGTCCATTGATGGACAAAAGAAGAAAATTACAGCTTCAACTCATGCATCAGAAAGTGGGGAATAAAAGGTTAGATACTGAGCCAACAAATACTTGTTTAATTTAGTATATTAATAATATATACATATCTTGTGCATGTTTATTCTGCTTTGCAATAATAAGATGCAATTATCCTTAATACAAACAACATGCAAACCCTTATCAGTTTTCAAAAGAGCATACACAAAATCCTGAAAGTCATGTGTGTGTGCCTGTGTGTGAGTCTGAATGCAGATACACATATGTCTTGGTCTGTGTGCAGAGGCCAGAGAATGAGCAAAAATGTTTGTCTTCACCTTTCATCTTGTTTGAGACAGGGCTTTTTTGGTATTTGCTGTTGTGTATGTCAGATTATCTGGCCATGAGCTTCTATTCTTTGGAAGCCCTAGCATGGCAGGTGTGCATTTTATTATCCAATTTTCTCGGGTTTTGAGAGTTTGAACCCAGGTCCTTATGCTTACACAGCAAGTGCTCTACCTACTGAGCCATCTCTCCCATACTCAGACATTTTCATCTGTTTTTAAATAACATCCACAGTATTTATTTCTGACTACTAATAATTACTCTTCTAATAAAATGATAATCTCACCTCAATACAATTTTGAAATAAATCCATTGTGAGATTATTTGTTATGGAAAAAGCACATATATTAAAATAATTAAAAAGGTAGAGGAACCACCAAAACATTATTTCCTGTAAACTTACCATATTTCTATAGACATTGACAGGTTTTTCTGCCCACTCCCTCAGCCATCCAGTCCCAAAGAAACACACAGAGGTCTACATTAATTATAAACTGGTTGGCCTATGAGCTCAGGCTTTTTATTAATTCCTATAACTTACATTAACCCATAATTTTTACTGTGTTAGCCCCCTAGCTTGGAACTCTTTATCAGTGAGGCATTCCCATCTTGCTTTCTCTGTGTCTGCAGACTGAGCCTTTCCTCTTCCCAGAATTCTCCTGTTCTGGTTTCCCTGCCCATACTTCCTGCCTGGCTATTGGCTAATCAGCATTTAATTAAACTAATGCAATGGACAAATCTTTATAGGGTACAAGACTATTGTCCCACAGCATATATCTCTATCTCTATCTCTAATAACAAGGAATAAAATATGCATGGCTACTCCATTCTCCATTTCTGTAATTATTTGATATTATAACCCATATTTAGCATTAATAACTGCTCTTCTGTTAGTCTTTCCTCTCAGTCAGCATCTTATTTGTTTTATTTGGGGTTTTTTACCCAGAAAAATCAATGAAAGGTGCTGATGGAGGAATAAGACACCATCATCACTCTCAGAAAGACTCCTTAAGGTCTCAGAAAGCCTTGCAGTTCAGAGATTCCCAACGTTACCTGAGACCATTCGCTGTCCAAAAGGTCAACTGGCATATTTCTTCTAGGCAAAATAACAAGTAGAAGAGTTTGGTATAGGAGATACACAAGTATCCCCGGATACTTCATTACTATAGAGATCAT